GTGCGTCAACTATACAATTGATTGATGATGCACGTCTTTGATAAAAGGACAGGCATCGAAGCATTTGAAGTGACCAGCGTAGTGAAGCAGGTCTGCGTACTGGCTACCGCCGTCTTCAGTCTCATGTTGTCCGCCATACCGATTGACGCATACCGTGACAGGCGCCTTGGGATAAACAAACCCTACACGACTGACGGACATATTCTAAATAGCCGGGGTGTGTATGCCCCAACGCGTGAACATTCGAATACCGTCCACGACCTGCTCTTTGTTGGCGACATGGCATTGAATACTGCGACGACAGAGGGCATGCAAAGGAGCATAGACATATTGAACACCGATTGCACTAACTTCGGACTGACGTATAAACAGGGACAGGACTGTGGTCATACATGAACCGTTGCCCAACATGGAATACATGTGCAGCAATCTAAGAAACCAACCGAATCCTCTTTGTAAGAGCTAAAAAGATGGCTTTCAAATCACAAGTGCAACCGAGCCACAACGCCTGGTTTCGTCCAAATTCCAACTCTCCCAACGCATACTGTGCGCGCAAACCGGCGTCGTCGGACAACTCCGAGTACAGCGCAGTAAAACCGGGCAAACTAAAGGGCTATATCCACAAACGACTCTCACTTTCACGCCTGCTTCAAAGTCCATGGCGTCCACTACGGTGTAACCCCCCCCCCACCGTCGGTTATAACACTCCCGATCTCCTGCTGCCACCAAATACCGTCACATCTACCCTCCCATCATACACCCCACGCAAATCACGTTGACGACCAGCACCTACACCCAATTTCTCTCCCCCTAACCATCATTGTGATCATCTCTACGTCCATTTAACTGCTATGTGATCGGCCACCTGCTAAAACATCACACGGTGACCAGTATATCCCTACCTGGATCTCAGACATAAATTCGCCCCACCCTTACGCGTTGCTAGCACTGTACATGCATATTCACTCACTGAATGAGTCTATTTGATCACACGCGCATTCACGAAGGCAAAGCTCACAGCAGTACTGGCATCCTAAACGTGCCCTGCATACACGACTACTCTCCCATCTCTAAAAGTTATAATTCCCCATCCACCAGCGCAACCACTACTAGTAGCGTCACCAACTTAAACTAACTGTACGCCTTTTATTGTTACTGCACATGCACATCACGCAGCGGCCTGGCTGATCATTTGCGAATCCAGCATACAGAGACTGCTACGCCAGTACCAGGATCATCACCGTACTTCCATCACACGCTCTTCAACTGTCCCACTGTTCACGCACATTCATTCGCCGCAGGAGCTAATAAGACCACGTATGTTTACAAGAAAAATTGCAGTAGAACACTACGGACTGAGCCGTACGATCAGTTTTATCCTCACCAACACCTTACCGTTCGACCATCGATTTCGACGAGGTCCACTACGTGCTCCAGCAGGCTGAAGTAATGCGGTGACTCCCGCAGAATTACAGTAAAAATAGACGCCGGAAAATCTGCCCCACTATCTCACCACTCCCACACTGGGACCCGGTGACTAGACATAAGTCCGGAAGGCCGAAGATGGGGGAGGGCGTTGGCGGCTGGCGCGACCAACACAGACATCATATATGAACGCACCACAGATCGTACGATGCATGCTGGAAAACAGCACAATCGCGTAAATGGGAAGTGTGTTCTTCGGCTGCGGGACCACCCGTGTTGTCTTCTTGTCCACCTCACGATCTCAGCCGGCTCTAAGCCAATCATTGTGCACGATTTCACGGATTGGCTGAAGGCCAATGGCCAGGGGCTCTGTAATCACGTGCGCGTGTATGCACAACAAACACAACTGGCCTGAAGAGGCTGCGAGTAACATCTGCACTCGTAAAACTCGTTCTCACAGTAAACGCTGTCCAACCTGATCAGTCTTCCCTGACTTCTGAATCGGGAAACCGCCTGTTGCCGACTTCGCTCACCTTTCGACACTAAACACCGTGACAATGGAATTCAGACCTGCTCAGTATATGTTTGTGTGTACTGGTCGAACAGTGGCCAGGGAGTCAGGTGACCGAACATTTTCGACTGATTCATCTTCAGGCAAATACAATAATATGAGGGAGGGTATAGTTAACAAAATTTTAACCAATAAATCAATGACTGTTCGGTGGAGCGGGATTAGTTTACTAAGAAGCAGCCAGTGGATGAGTAACTGCGCCTCCTTTTTCTCATTGTTGTCGTTAAAGTTGCGCCACCCCTCCAAATTTGTCCCTTTGCGCATCTGGCCAGCAAATTCTGATAAAGATAAAGGGAGGTTGGCTTCCTGCCTCCTTTCAACTTTTCGGAGAACTTATCACGTCTTAGAATGTGCGATGACTGATTTCTATAAGAAGACTTCCACGTTTCAACAAATGCTGACCCAGACTTGGCCAAAATAAGAGTGGGAAAAAAAAAAACAGTAATCGCTAGACGATGCAGCGTGGTGCCCTCCACTGCAAATCTGCTGATCAGTCCCTGATCAAAACGACAGCCCGCTGCTCATCCAGCCCAAAGCAGTAAGTCTGGAGACGTAGGTCGTCCCACTGGGCCGAAACAAGTCACTGAGCTGAACACGGTTCACAAGACTTGACTCGATGTTCCGACGGCACGCGCTCAGTTTCATCTTCACTCTGTCCTGTCCCGTCCCTTCCTGACCACCCCCGCCTCCCCCTTCACTCCCTTCTCAATACCTCTTCTCAATCTCCGGGTTTCCTTGAGCTTCCAGCGTACTCCGCTCAGTCACATGAGAGCAGCGTGCCACCGCACGCGCGAAAGGGACCATGGGGAGGACGG